ACCGGCCTGGTGGAGAGCAGCCGTGGAAGGATCAGTCCCTGCTGTCAAAAGGGAATTTCAAGACTTCGCTCTGGATCGGGTCCCGGCGCTGTCTCCCTCCCTCCATCTCTAGCGTAATACTAAAAAAAACAACAAAAAAAAGCACCTTCCACAAACTCCTAAACAGGAGTATCCTGACTTCTATTTTCTCAAGGCAACATTTTTGCTAAAATTTTAGTATTCAAACTGAGCATTCACCCTGCAGAGGAAGAATGTTGGTTCCAAGCCCTTTCCTGTCTCCCAAGCCATATGTGCACGGTTGTCTTCAGAATCCTACCCCTCCACTCTCTGGAGTGCTGGAATCCCTTGATCTATTTGTGTTGTCACTGAGTCGCTTTGGGCAAGTCCTAGTTTTACCTGAAAGTAGACTTCCCACAACTCTCTCCTTCTAGTTTCCAGCCAAGCAATCCTGAAAGTTCTGAATGGCCGTTTCGAGTAAAGTACAATTTCATGGTAATTTTACATCGCTTTAAACAGATTTCTTTCCCCTCCTTGTTCTTTCCCCACCTGTTCACTCCTTAACAGACAGGACACCTGGCTGTCACACATTGCCAACCTCGTGGAAATCAGGTTTCACACAGCCAAATGGAAGCTTGCCAGGCTTTCCCCTTTCTCTCTAGGCCTCCTGGGATCACTTTGACCTTTAAAAAAAGAAAGGAAGGAAGGAAGGAAGGAGGGAGGGAAGGAAGGAAGGAAGGAAGGAAGGAAGGAAGGAAGGAAGGAAGGAAGGAAGGAAGGAAAAGAAAAAAAGTAAATCCTGCCTGTTGGTCTACCACACTTTCTGGAAGCGAATTTCTTTCTCCATGGTGTTGTTGTGTCTTTGTGTGTCTCCCTGGTGGGTGTTTATTATAGCTGTGCCCTATCACTCAATTCTATTTAACAGACTTTTACCAACACTCTAAAGTGTCTGTCCTTTTACAGGGTTTAGTTCTGTCTGGTGTCTCCTTTTGGTGGGTCTTGGGAGGAAAGGTTGTGGATTGTGGCCAACTTAGAGTGTCAGGTCAGAAGTCAGGTATTCAGATGTGTGATCCTGTAATTGTGCATGTGCCGTTCATACATCTGTCTAATCATGTAGAAGGCACGACACCAAGAGGCAAGGTTAGTGTCTGCTATGGATCGTGTGTGGTAATGGTGTGAACCCAGGTTCAGAGTTGTGACTGGTAACACCACTCTGGTGTAGGTGTTGATTATGGGGCAGCGGAACCGGAAGTCTGTTTTTTATTCAGTCTTGCTGTGAACGTAAAATTCCTTGAAGAAACAACCCCATTCAGCTTAGTGCAGTACTAAATGCCTGTAGTCCTTGCTATTTGGGAAACAGGGGCAAGAGCATTACTTGATCCCAGGAGTTTGGGGCCAGCCTGAGCAACCCTGAGAGACACGTTTCCAACAAAGAAGCAATAAATTTATTTTTACGAAAAGATAGTTACAAAACGTTCTTGTTTGGCATACCTGGAGCCATGGGTTCCTCCACCAGTGCTGTATAAAATGCGAATACTCCATATATCTTCTCATTTCTCAAGTCTCAGACATCTTTCCTTCCTCCACAGACGTTTTGGGGATCATCGGACTCTTTTTTACTTTATTATTGGAATAATTGTGTACTCTTCATCTTTTTTTTTTAAAATAGTATTAAATTTGTTGCAATTTCTTTTGTAAGCAAAAGATATGAGTCCTGCTAGGGACCTGTAATCCCAGCACTCCAAAGGCAGCAGAATCAAGAAATTCAGTCCAGGCAACCTAGCAAGTTCCAGGACAGCTTGGGATGTACTGTGGGACTCTGTCTCAAACAAATAATGGACAGGAACTTGTCTACCATTTGCTTGTGTTTCCTTCTCAAGTATACCATCTCCTAATCCTTTGAACACTGTGAGGTGGCGCTCACCTCTGATGATATATGAAACAAAGGCTAACTTAGTATATAAATCTATTAAACGTTGTGGACAGAAGGGAAAATTGGAACTGCATCATTCTGTCTTTAAGGTAGGTGTTCTGCCTATACTTCCAAACTACCAAATGGAAATACTCAACACAAAGACACAAAATGAAAAAAAAAATGTGTTGGGATTATTTGTTCCTGCATAATTAGACTTGTCTTTTATTGAACTAGACTATTTAAAATCACCCTGCCAAAATGGTTTCTTTAGTTATGAGAACACTATAAATTTACCATCCACCATGGCCATCAGACACTGAACATGGTTCATTGAAAGTGAACATTCTGAAAATACTCCAAGATGCTAGTTTGTCCTCACAATCGTCAACTTTTCAGCTGACCTATTCATGTCTTATATGCTGGACCTTGGATCTGAGGACCTGAATAAATGGGCAGACTACAGCCTAATGCTGTAGACAACTTTACTTCAGTTTCAGTGGACTTTTATACACAGGTGTAACAAAGAAAACAATGGTTCAAAGAAGGTTGTTTGAGATCAGAAAAACATGTAAATAAGGCTTTAAACCTGTAAACATGTAAATAAACATACTAAATATTAACAGAGCTTCCCTTAATCAGAATTTTCATAACTAATTTATGAAAATTTGTAGGGAAAGCTGTAGCCACGCCTTCTTAGGGGCTGGCTACAGGTGTGCCTGACCAGGCTTGTGAGGGCGTGGTCAGAGTGACCACGTTTTCGGTTTCGGTTTCTCTTTGCTGCTTGCTGTACATACCGCGACCACGCCAGCTGGCTAGGTTGCTCTGTAAGTAAGGCTTTTCCCTATTAAATACCCTTATATTTCTACCTGACTCCGTATTGGTAATTTCCCACAATAAAAATTAAACACAATTCTGTGGCACATAACTATAGCGAGTATCTGAGAAAGCATGAAAGCAAAGCAGAAAGCCATATGCAGATTCAGGGCACACTAACCAGATTGGCTTCCATAGCTGTGTCCTGACATCCAACAAGAACAAACATGTCATAAATTGAATGCAAATGTTTAACAGAGGAGGCACAAAATCACATCCAGGAACAATCCCAGGAACAAAATGAACCTGAGGTAAAATACTCTCTGCCTAAAAAGGAAAAATCCTGGAGCCTGTCTCACAGTTTTCTAAGACATTGTTCACCATGGGTCATTCTTTTAACCACGTTCTGAAAATAATAAACTCTGAGTCCCCATCTTCTGAGCTAGTGTCTGTGTACCTGTTATCTGTATTTTCTTTCACATATAATAGTTTTATATAGAATGAGATACCTGTAGGAGAGCATGTTCTTAATTTTAATGGTCATCTTTGTTGTTGTTTAGTTTGCTTTTCCTTTATTAGTAGTGATCTTCATTGACTAGGATTTTATCCTGTGACACTGAATCAATTGCTTGAATAAGCATAAGATCAGATTATGAATTCCTTACCATGATACAGTTTATCTGAGTATTAAACCCATTTGGGATATGATAATAGTTTGAAAATAGCCACTCTCAACTGAAAATGAATGTGCTATACAGAATTCAGTTTAAGAACAGTCAGGGGGACTTTTCCATCTGGGTCATGATTTGGCCTTCTTCTGAAGTATGTGTGTTTGTGAACAGAATATTAATATTTCTCACTAGTAAAACAAACTTTGTAACATAAACCAAAGCCCCAATTATTCCATTTTTTTAGCATAGAAATATCCTTTTGAATGGTTTCAGTAGTGTTATTTCATTTGGAACTTTTTGGATTACTTTCTGAATAGGTTATAAGCAGGAAAGTCCTAGATCTTTTAAAAGGCTGATAACATGATAATGAAACAGTAAACTTTCTTTTTTAAAAACACATTCTAATTAAATTTATCTTTAGATGAAAAAGAAGCATAAAAATGAAGCTGCAAATGTGCTGTCATGTTATGTTCCAGTACATGTAATACATTGTATAATGTTTAGGTCAGGTTAGACATACCCATCGTTTCAAACTTTTCCTTTGCAATGCTAAGAATCAAACACAGTACCTTGTGTGTGTTAGGCAAGTGCTTTTCTAGAAGTTTCATGTCTTGAAATCAATCTTGAATCAATTTTAACTTGATTTTTATAATTGCTGTGTGGTAGGGACTTAATTTCATTAATTTGCATGTGGATATCATTTTTTCTAGTGTGGTTTACAAAAAACGTGATACTTAGCAC